CGGTGGGGATGCAGCGTGGCGAGGCTTGGAGTGTGCGGAGCGGGGCTTGGAGGCAGCGTGGGAGAGGTAAGATGAAGGAGGGGGTGGAGGGAAGAGGGCAGGGGGAAGTTGCGTTGTTTGTGTGTGTGTGTGTGTGGGCGGTGACGTGTTCGTGCTGGGCGGGGCGAGGGAGGGAGGGAAGTGCGGAGGGTGTGTTGGCCGTTCGGCCATGTGTGTGTGCGCGCGCGCTGGGGACTTTGCGCCAGTGCGCATGCTCAGTTGTTTTGCCGTTTTTTCTGTGTATGGTTGTGTTGTTTTCAATTTTGAATGGATTAGTTTGTACCGAGAGGGTTGTCCTTGGGGCATGGCAATTTTGGTGCAGTTTCGTTGGGGGGTTGTGGAGTTTTGCTGTCCTGTTGAACCAACCTGACAGATTTATATATATAGATTGTCCTCCCAACCCTGCTCTATGCCTGTGAGACGTGGACTGTCTGCAGACGTCACAAGCAACTCCTGGAACGCTTCCATCAGCGCTGCCTCTGGAAAATCCTGCAAATCTCCTGGGAAGACAAGCGGACAAATGTCAGCGTGCTGGAAGAAGCAAAGACCACCAGCATTGAAGCGATGGTCCTCTGCCGCCAACTCTGTTGGATCGGCCACATTGTCCAGATGCCCGACCACCGTCTCCCAAAGCAGTTGCTGTATTCCAAATTCAAGAACGGAAAATGGGATGTTGGTAGGCAGGAAAAGAGATTGAAAGATGGGCTCAAAGCCAACCTTAAAAACTCTGGCATAGACACTGAGAACTGGGAAGCCCTGGCCCTTGACTGCTCCTGCTGGAGGTCAGCTGTGACCAGCAGTGCTGCAGAATTTGAGGAGGCACGAATGGAGGGCGAAGGGAGAAACGTGCCAAGAGGAAGGCACGTCAAGACAATCCCGACCGGGACCGCCTTCCACCTGGAAACCAATGCCCTCACTGCGGAAGAAGATACAGAGCAAGAATAGGGCTCCACAGCCACATACGGACCCACAAGAACACTGGAAGACAATCATTCTCGGAAAGCGAGGGATCGCCTAAGTAAGTAAGCTGGATTTTGTATCACAAAATCACAAGTCGAACACTTCTCAAGCATCTAGAACTCTGTGATGTATTTTCGAATGATGTATATTATTATTATTATTATTATTATGATTATTGTGGTGGTACGGCTGTACCAGGAGCTCCAAATTTATTTGCTTTGTATTAAATGTTTGCTTGCAGCCCTGGGTTTCAGGGACTCTGCAGATAGGTGGCTTCCTTTGGTTGCAGTCGTAGGGCAAGTCACCTGTCCATCATCGTTAAGTTTTGGTTCCGCCTCTTGCTCAGGGCAATTGGGAAGGGAAGGGAGCCATTTTTTAGTCAGTCTCAGCAAGGAAAACTAATGTACAGGAGAAAACAGTCTTAAGAGCATCAAAAGATCTCCAAAGATTTCCAGGGAAGCATCCCCAAAGCTTTGAGGACTTTCCGGGGGAGAACAGTCTTAAGAGCAAACCAGAGAACTCCAGCTGGAGAGTCTACTGCCTTACTGGTAGGTCCATTCGGTGTTCGAGATGCAGTTCGACCCGGTAGCGGAGCCCACATCAGTAAGGGTTAGATTACAGTCAGCCTGGGAGAAGTTAAAAAGGGGATTTTCCTTTCAAGTAAAGAAGAAGTTATTGAAGACAGTTGCCTGTCCTTCGTGGGCAAGATTAGGAAGTCACCAGTTGCATAAAACCTGGAAGCATTTGTTTAGCTTTATTGAAGACAAGAGAAGTTTCTGTTTGATTGTTCATTAATAAAAGACTTTGTTATACTTCACAAGCCATCTAAAGATCATTTGTGGTGGAAAACCTCTGAGAACTTCTCTTTGGGCCCCCTGGCTTCCCGCTGGGCAAAGGTTGCATGTCCTGTTCTAAAGGAAATTCTTTACAGGCCCAGCGCGACAGAACTATTATTATTATTATTATTATTATTATTATTATTATTATTATTATTATTGGGGTATTGTGTGTTTTCCGAGTTATATTAACTAGCTGTACCTGCCACACATTGCTGTGGCCAACCTTCCCTCCCTCTTCCTCTCCTTCTTTCCTTCCTCCCCCCTTTTTCTTTCCTCTTTCTTCCTTCTCTACCTATATTTGGACTGCAACTCCCAGATAGGTGGGTAGATCTATCTATCTACCCACCTATCTATATCTACCTAATCTACCTATCTGGAGGATTGCTGGGAGTTGTAGTCCAGGAATAGGAAATTGGAAATATGCAGGGATTGGGATGCTCTCAAAGAAATCAATGGAGAATTTATTTTATTTATTTCGGTTGCTTCTACCCCGCCCTTCTCACCCCGAAGGGGACTCAGGGCGGCATACAAAAGCAAGGCACAATTTGATGCCCGCATCACATAACAACAACAAGACAAAATAACATCAATTAACAGAAAACGGCAATTCTTGCAAGGCGAAAACAACCATAAAATCAGTAAAAGCAATAAAACCAATACAAACCATTTCTCCTCATTGACGGTCAGCGTTTCGCAATCTCATAGTTCAAATTCCAATTCCATAATTGTCAGTCCTGTCAGTCCTATCCATCTGGTTGTCCATATCTGGTTGTCAGATTGCCCGAAGGCCTGGTCCCACAACCACGTCGTTACCTTCCTCCTGAAGGAGAGGAGGGATGATGATGCCCTAATTTCTCCCGGGAGTGAGTTCCACAGGCGAGGGGCCACCACTGAGAAGGCCCTGCTCGTCGTCTCCACCAGCCTCACTTGTGATAGCGGTAGGGTCGAGAGCAGGGCCTCCCCAGATGATCTCAAACTCCGGGGTGGGACGTAGAGGGAGATACGTTCGGACAGATACACTGGACCGGAACCGTAAAGGGTTTTGTAGGTCAAAACCAGCACCTTGAATTGTGCTCGGAACTGAACCGGCAGCCAGTGGAGCTGACACAGCAGGGGGGTGGTGTGCTCCCTGTATGTCGCTCCGGTGAGCAATCTGGCTGCCGCTCACTGGACCAGTTGAAGTTTCCGAACAGTCTTCAAGGGCAACCCCACATAGAGTGTGTTGCTGCAGTAGTCTATTCGGGATGTAACAAGAGCCACTGTGGCCAGATCAGACTTCCCAAGGTACGGGCGCAACTGGTGCACAAGTTTTAATTGTGCAAAAGCTCTCCCGGCCACCGCTGAGACCTGGGGCTCCAGGCCCAGCGATGAATCCAGGATCACTCCCAAGCTGCGAACCTGCATCTTCAGGGGGAGTAACACAGGCTGTAACCCATGTGTGCCTAGAATATTTATTTATTTTTTACTAGCTGTACCCTGCCACGCGTTGCGGTGGCCTATAGTAAATCTTTTCAAAGCAGAGGTAGATATCTGGCGTAGTATGAAAGAGAGGTACCTACCTATTCCTTCCCCCTTTTTCTCCCCCTTTCTCTCCTTTCTTCCTTCTTTCTTTCTTTCTTTCTTTCTTTCTTTCTTTCTTCCTTTCTTTCCTTCTTTCGCTCCTTGGTTTCATCCTTCTCTCTTTCCTTCATTCCCTCCCCCTTTCTTCCTTTGCCTCCTTTCTTCCCTCCATGTTTCCTTCCTTCTTTCATTTTTTATTTCCTTTTCTCCTTCCTTCTTTACCTCTTTCCTGCCTTTCCTTCCTTTTATTTTTCTTTCCTTTCTACTTTCTCTTCTTCCTTCCTTCGGTACCTCTTTCTTTCCTGCCTTCCCTCCTTCCTTTCTTCCTTCCCATTGCTTACCAAACCCTTCTCGTGCTTTATGTTGGGTCTTGGGAGTCCTACCTCCCCTTTCCCTGCCATGTGTTGCTGTGGCCCACCTTACCTCCCTCTTTCTCTCCTTCTTTCCCTCATTCCCTTTTCTTCTTTCCTTCTCTCCTTCCTTCCTTCTCTTCCTCTTTCCTTCTTCTTTTTTCTTTTCCTTCCCTTTCTCTTTCTTCCTTCTCTGCCTCTTTCCTTCCTTCCTTCCTGTGGTTTTTGTTTCCATTCTTCCTTTTGTCTGTCCTTCCTTCCCCCCTCTTTCTCTTCTTCCTTTGCTCCTCTTTCCTTCCTTTTCTGTCCTTCTCTCCTTCCTTCCTTCTCTTCCTCTTTCCTTCTTCCTTTTCCTTTTCCTTCCCTTTCTCTTTCTTCCTTCTCTGCCTCTTTCCTTTCTTCCTTCCTTTGGTTTTTGTTTCCATTCTTCCTTTTGTCTGTCCTTCCTTCCCCCCTCTTTCTCTTTCTTTCTCTTCTTCCTTCGCTCCTCTTTCCTTCCTTTTCTTTCCTTATCTCCTTCCTTCTTTCTCTACCCATTTCTTTCCATCCCTCTTCATTTCCTCTTTCTCTCTTTTCTTCCTTCTCTACCTCTTTCCTTCTTTCCTTCACTCTTTGCTTCCATGTTTCCTTCTCTGTTTCCTTCCTTCCTTCAATGTTTTTCCTCTTCCTTGATTGGGCCCGCCGGGGCGAAGGAAGGGGGCGTGTCTTACCGGAGGGGGGTGGGAGGAGGGAAGGATTGACTCAGGGAGGGAAGGGGTGGGGGGGGGTAAGATGAAGGAGGGGGAGGAGGGTTGTTTTTGACAGGGCGGGAAGCGGCGCGGCGGGGCTTGGAGTGGGCGGGGCTTCTTTGGAGGTGGCGTGTTGTGGCGTGATCGTGTGGGGCGGGCAGGGGGAGGGAGGGGCCGTGGTGTGGGGTGATCGTGGGGGGCGGGGCGACGGAGGATGGGGGTGTTGCTTGCGTGGAGGGAGCGTTGGCCGGCAGGCCGTATGTGCGCGCCAGGGAACTTGCGGCTGGGTGCCATTTCGCATGCTCAGTTGTTTTGTCCTTTTGTGAGTGTGTTTTTGTGTTTTTTTGTATTCTGATTCGATATGTTTGTACCTTGTGGGTTGAGGTATGTGCATGGGAATTTTGGTTAATTTTCGTTGGGGTTTTTTTGAGTTTTGCTGTCCCGTTGGATGCCCCTTACAGATTTATATATATAGATGGTCACTTGTTGGTCTGATAGGTGTCTTGTGTCCCCTTGTCTTCTAGGCCACCTCTGTGAGCAACGACTGAGGAAGTCCCCCGCCTTGCCGGCCTCTCGCTCGCGCGTCGTCTCCTCGCATGACGGGACCAGCGGCTTCCGCGGGGGCAGCCTACTCTCCCTCAACACGCCCACAGGTAAGTCCGCTTTCTCTCCCGGAAATTGAGAAACTGCAAGTCGCTTCTGGTGTGAGAGAATTGGCCGTCTGCAGAGATGTTGCCCAGGGGACGCCCAGATGTTTGATGTTTCACCATCCTTGTGGGAGGGTTCTCTCATGTCCCCGCATGGGGAGCTGGTGCTGACAGACGGGAGCGCAACCCGCTCTCCCCAGATTCAAATCGCTGGCCTATTAGTCAGCAGTTTAACCCATTATGCCACTGCAAAAAAATCATATTATACTAGCTGACCCCTGCCACGCATTGCTGTGGCTTAGTCTGGTGATTTGGAATATAAAGTAATGAGAAAGTGTTGGTTTCTAATATATGTAATTACTTTATGCTTGTGGGTAAACAGTATTTCTTGCTGTTTCTTTGTCAGTGTTGATGTGGAGATCGTCTGGTTTGCCTACTCTAGAACACGCAACACATAATTGTCCCTTTCAAATCTATGATACTATATCTCTCTGTGTGTGAATCATATCGATCTATCTATCAATCTATCTACATCTATGGCTGGAGGGCTTTGTTTACATTTTCTTGCCCTGGTGAAGGGAGTTGGACTGGATGGACTTAAGCATTTTCTGATAGTCGTGGGAGTTCTGTGTGGGAAGTTTGCCCCAATTCTGTCGTTGGTGGTCTTCAGAGTGCTCTGATTGTAGGTGAACTATAAATCCCAGTGACTACAACTCCCAAATGTCAAGGTCTTATTTCCCCCAAACTCCATCTCAATATTTGGGCATATTGAGTATTCGTGCCAAGTTTGGTCCAGACCCATCATTGTTTTAGTCCACAGTGCTCTCTGTATGTAGGTGAACTACAGTTCCCAAACTCAAGGTCAATGCCCACCAAACCCTTCCAGTATTTTCTGTTGGTCAGGGGGGTCCTGTGTGCTAAGTTTAATTCAATTCCATCATTGGTGGAGTTCAGAATGCTCTTTGATTGTAGGTGAACTATAAATCCCAGCAACTACAACTCCCAAATGACAAAATCATTGTTTTTGAGTGGTGATCACTCCTTGTGTTTTTGTTGCCAAATTTGGTGTGATTTCATTCATTGGTTCTTTTGTTTTTAAGGTACCCATGACGCACAGAGCATTTTTATATAGATAGATAGATTATTATACTAGCCTCCTGCTTATCTTCTTACCTAATTGGATTTACCTATTTCTTTAAAGTGCTTTTTTACTTGCTGCTTTTTAATTATCTTCAATAAAAGGATTTTTTTCCAAGTAAAAAGCACTTTAAAGAAATAGGTGGATCCAATTAGGTAAGAAGATAAGCAGGAGCAAAAATGGTCCAGGGTAAAGTTCAGCAAAGTCCATAAAAACAAAGTCCACACTTCTCTAATAATATAATTCAGGAAAAACAGGAAACATTAATCCAAACTATGAGTAGGCATTCATACATTCCAATCGTCCAAACCATGAACAAGAAATACTTAGACAAGAATCTTCCAAGCAAAGCTTCCATGAAACAAAGGACGAGAACTACACTTGATTCCAACAGTGCTACATCTGACTATATTTCCTATCATAGAATCATAGAATCAAAGAGTTGGAAGAGACCTCATGGGCCATCCAGTCCAACCCCATTCTGCCAAGAAGCAGGAATATTGCATTCAAATCACCCCTGACAGATGGCCATCCAGCCTCTGTTTAAAAGCTTCCAAAGAAGGAGCCTCCACCACACTCCGGGGCAGAGAGTTCCACTGCTGAATGGCTCTCACAGTCAGGAAGTTCTTCCTCATGTTCAGATGGAATCTCCTCTCTTGTAGTTTGAAGCCATTGTTCCATTGCGTCCTAGTCTCCAAGGAAGCAGAAAACAAGCTTGCTCCCTCCTCCCTGTGGCTTCCTCTCACATATTTATACATGGCTATCATATCTCCTCTCAGCCTTCTCTTCTTCAGGCTAAACATGCCCAGCTCCTTAAGCCGCTCCTCATAGGGCTTGTTCTTGATCATTTGAGTCGCCCTCCTCTGGACACATTCCAGCTTGACAATATCTCTCTTCAATTGTGCTGCCCAGAATTGGACACAATATTCCAGGTGTGGTCTAACCAAAGCAGAATAGAGCATGGGGAGCATGACTTCCCTAGATCTAGACACTAGGCTCCTATTGTTCCGACCTATCTGTCTGAACGCGTCTCCTCCTATGAACCAGTTAGGACGTTAAGATCGTCTGGGGAGGCCCTGCTCTCGGTCCCGTCGGCTTCACAAGCACGCCTGGTGGGAACGAGAGACAGGGCCTTCTCAGTAGTGGCCCCTTGGCTGTGGAACGCCCTTCCTACAGACATTAGATCGGCCCCCTCCTTATTGGCATTCCGGAAGAGAGTGAAGACCTGGCTCTTCGAACAGGCTTTCAACTAAGCAATGCAATTGATTGATTACTGGAATATGGATTAATGGACAACGAGATCGGATGCTGATTCTGTTGATGAGACGTGATGGATTGTTGTTTTCCTGTATTGTTGTATTGTTCTGATGTTAATTAATTGATATTACTGTTTTAAATGATTAATGATTTTGTATTGTATTGTTGATACTGGTTGTTAACCGCTCTGAGTCGCCTGATGGCTGAGAAGAGCGGTATACTAGGCTTGGGTAACCACGGAAAAATTTGGTTCTAAACTCGTTTCGTTTTTTTTTAATAATTCCGAAATTTTCCTTTTAAAATTTTTGAAATATACGAAATTTTGTATAATTACGAATCGATTCGTTAATGGCGGACGCGATTGCGCAATATGCTAAAAAAACCTCCAAATGGGACAGGGGGAACTTCTGAAGCTTCCCTCTCCCTCTGTTGTTGACTGTTGGTGTGATAAAACAAACAACAACTATAAAACTTGCACCAGACATGCGAAAATAATTACGAAAAATTACGAAATAATTACAAAATAATTACGAAATAATTACGAAATAAATTGAAAAAATTGTTTCGAATCTAATTTACTCCTCACACTATTCCTGCATGGCTCAATATTGGATCGTAAGCTAATTTAAATATGAATTAATAACGAATTACGAAATTAACAAACGAAACCGCCCAAGCCTACGGTATACAAGTGAAGTAAATAATAAATAAATAAATAAATAAATAAATAAATAAATAAATAAATATTGATGCAGGCCAAAATCCCATTGGCTTTTTTTGCCGCCACATCACATTGTTGGCTCTTTTATCCCCTCGTTAAGCTATTCCACGCACTCAGGAATTGATTTCGTTTTACTTGAGATCCCCTTATCTTTTTCTGTCGGAGCCTGGCAGAACGCCGAAGGCACTGCTCGGCCTGGCTGTTTTGACGAATTTCCTCTCACCTATCTATTTGCTCATTAAGTCAGGTGCCCAGTTGTTTTCAAGCCCCAAATCCTGGGAACCTGCAAAACAGCGAATCTGCAACAAGCGAACTGCGAAGTCGCGAGGGAACACTGTATTTTATTTGCAAAGCTACTTCCTGTCACAAAGAGAACAAAAAGGCACACATCAAACAAGAGAGAGAGAAAACGAACAATACAAAAAAAGTGTAGCTTAGCTGTTGTGCTCGAAACAGGCCCCCAAATGAAATAAATCTGCCGGAGATAAAAGCAGCCAATTAATAACTTAATACTCAGCCTATTCAACAGAATAACGTGTAGCTAATTCATTAGCATTGTCTTCAAAACCAAACTTGACGCCTCGCGCTGGAGATCTAATGCAATTTGAAAGCGGGGCAGAGGTAACCACGGCTTTAATTGCATTTTTTAATCTTTATTGTCCGGAGGAAGGGAAAAAATATTTTCCTGTCTTCTATTAGAGCAGTGGTTCTCAACCTTCCTAATGCCGTGACCCCTTAATGCAGTTCCTCATGTTGTGGTGACTCCCCCCCCAACCAAATTTGGCACAATTACTAGATACACCCAAATTTGAATACTGGTGGGGTTGGGGGGGGGTTTGGTTTTGTCATTTGGGAGTTGTAGGTAAAGGTTTTCCCCTGACATTATGTCCAGTCATGTCTGACTTGGGTGCAGGGGCGGCTCGTTCATTACGCGAAGTAAGCGGTCGCAGAACACTTTTTTTTGCCAGGGGCGCAGAGGCGCCTCTGTAAATGCCCCTCGACCGCCACTTGAGGAGCGCCCCCTCAGTTCACAACAGCCCTAGCAGTCCGGGGGGAGCCTCGGCTTTCTTGCCTCGCTGCCGGGCGATCCTCTTCCCAAAGGGGCCGGGCCCTTGAGCCTCGCCTAGCCCCTCTCGTTCCTGCTCCACCAGGCCACCGGGTGCGCGAGCAGAGCTGGCGCTCAATCGTTCTCCGCGTTCGATCCCTTCCCCATGACCGGCTCCCTTTCCAGATCCCCCGGCGCTCCACCCGCCTCCTCTCCTCTCCCCAATCCGCAGGTGGGCCAAGGGGCGGAGCCGCCGCGCCTGGCCCTCTTCGGGTCCGGAGGCATGTCTGAAGACCCCAGCGTGTGCACCAAAAGTCGCCTCTTCTCCTGACTTTCTCTTCAGCCATTGGGACCAAGAGAGAGAGAGAGAGAGAGAGAGCCCCTCTGGCTGGAGGTATCTCCCACCTCCGCTCCCTCCTTTGTTTTTGCGCCTACCTTCAGGAAAGGTGGGCATCTCCACCTCTCTCTCTCTCTCTCTCTCTCTCTTGGTCCCAATGGCTGAGGAGAAAGTCAGGAGAAGGGGTGACTTTTGGTGCACACGCCGGGGTCTTCAGGCACGCCTCCGGACCCAAAGCGGGCCAGGCAAGGGAGCAAGTGCGGCAAGTGTAGTTACTGGGATGTATAGTTCACCTACAATCAAAGAGCATTCTGAACTCCACCAATGATGGAATTGAACCAAATATGGCACACAGAACTCCCACGACGAACAGAAAATATATATCAATGATTGGTTGGGGGGGGGGCGCCAAATACTGTTTGCTTACCATGTTAAGTCCAGTCATGTCTGCCTCTGGGGTGTGGTGCTCATCTCCATTTCTAAGCCGAAGAGCCAGCGTTGTCCGTAGACACCTCCAAGGTCATGTGGCCAGCATGACTGCATGGAGCACTGTTACCTTCCCGCTGGAGCGGTACCTATTGATCTACTCACATTTGCATGTTTTCGAACTGCTAGGTTGCCAGAAGCTAGGGCTGACAGTGGAAGCTCACGCCGCTTCCTGGATTTGAACCTGCACCCTTTCGGTCAACAAGCTCAGCAACTCAGGGATATCGTTGTTGGGATTTATCGTTAACCTACAATCAAAGAGCACTCTGAACTCCACCAATGATGTAATTGAAACAAACTTGGCACACAGATATCCCTTAACCAACAGAAAATACTGGAAGGGTTTGGTGGCCATTGACCTTGGTTTTGGAGCTGTAGCTCACCTAGGCGAGCACTATTGGTCATCCAATGACCAATAAAGACCAAACTTGGCACACAGAGCCCCCATGACCCACTCTACATCCTGCTGTGCTTGGAGGAGGGTGGACCATCAAACAATGATGGATCTGGACCAAACCTGGCAAGAATACTCAATCTGCCCAAATGTGAACACTAGTAGAGTTTGGGGAAATTAGACCTTGACACTTGGGAGTTGTAGTTGCTAGGATTTATAGTTCACCTACAATCAAAGAGCATTCTGGACTCCATCAACGATGGAATCGAACCAAATGCGGCACACAGAACTCCCATGACCAACAGAAAATTCTGGAAAGATTTGGCAGGCATGGACCTTGAGTTTTGGAATTGTAGTTCACCTACCTCCAAAAGCACCGTGGACTCCCTCCCTGGGCTCCCCTGTGGGCCCGTCAAATGGCCAGGGGCGAGCGCGCGGGGGAGCCCAGGAGACACAGGCAGAAGACAACAAGGAATCCACATTTGGCGTCATTTGGCGAAGCCGCGAGGGGGCCGAGGCAGCCTTCACGCGAGTCCTCCCTGGGTTCCCCTGCGGACTCGCCTGCGAAGGAGCCCAGGGAGGGCTCACAGCCTTGTGGGCGGGGCCTAAGGAGGCGGCCTCGCGACCCCTCCAAAATGGCCAAATGACCCCCTGGGGGGTCGCGACCCCCAGGTTGAGAACCGCTGTATTAGAGAATAGCTCTGTAACAAATACCGTATATACTCGAGTATAACCGACCCGAATATAAGATGAGGCACCTAATTTTGCCGGAAAAAAAACTGGGAAAATGTATTGACTCAAGTATAAGCCGGGAGTGGGAAATGCAGGCGCTATGGGTAAATCTATATAAATAAAAATGTAATGTTTGTTTGTGATACCATCAGTACTCAAAAACCACTGGGGGAATTGACACCAAATTTGGACACAAGACACCTAACAGTCCAATGTATGTTCTCCACTCAAAAAACCAACAAAAAAACAAAAGCAGAAAGGACTTCTAAACTGCATGTCCACAAAGGGGAAACCCATGGCCACGCCCCCTCCTCCTCCTCGTGGGGAAACAGCCGGCCGTTAAAGCCAGGCGCACGTGCACTGCCACACATACACACACACACAAGCGAGTGGAGTGGAGGTGTCCCTCCTTCCTTCTTCCTTTCCTTCTTTTCCCTCCTCCCTCCCTTTCCTCCTTCTTTCCCTTCATTTCCTTCCCCTATCTGTGTGTGTGTGTGTGTGTGTGTGTGTGTATGTGTGCGCATTTCCTCTGCAGTATTTGCAAGCCCTATATATCAATGTTTATATCTATCTAGATCTCTCTGTGTGTGTGGATTTCGTCTGCAATATTTGCAAGCCCTATATATCTATGTTCATATCTATCTAGACATCTGTGTTTTTGTGTGTGTATTTGTGTGCATTTCCTCTGCAATATTTTCAAGCCCTATGTATCTATGTTTAGATTTATCTAGACATCTGTGTGTGTGCATTTCCTCTGCAATATTTACAAGCCCTATATATCTATGTTTATATTTATCTAGACATGTGTGTGAGCATTTCCTCTGCAATATTTGCAAGCCCTATATATCTATGTTTATATCTATCTAGACATGTGTGTGTGTGTGCACATTTCCTCTGCAATATTTGCAAGCCCTATATATCTATGTTTATATTTATCTAGACATTGTGTGTGTGAGTGTGTGTGCATTTCCTCTGCAATCTTTGCAAGCCCTATATATCTATGTTTATATTATCTAGACATCGGTGTGTGTGTGTGCATTTCCTCTGCAATATTTTCAAGCCCTATGTATCTATGTTTATATTTATCTAGACATCTGTGTGTGTGTGTTTGCATTTCCTCTGGAATATTTGCAAGCCCTATATATCGATGTTTATATCTATCAAGACATCTGTGTTTGTGTGTGTGTGTTTGTGTGCATTTCCTCTGCAACATTTTCAAGCCCTATGTATCTATGTTTATATTTATCTATGTTTATATTTATCTCGCTCTGTGTGTGTGCCTTTCCTCTGCAATATTTGCAAGCCCTATATATCGATGTTTCTATCTATCTAGACATCTTGTGTTTGTGTGTGGGGGTTTGTGTGCATTTCCTCTGCAACATTTTCAAGCCCTATGTATCTATGTTTATATTTATCTATGTTTATATTTATCTCACTCTGTGTGTGTGCATTTCCTCTGCAATATTTGCAAGCCCTATATATCGATGTTTCTATCTATCTAGACATCTTGTGTTTTTGTGTGTGGGTTTGTGTGCATTTCCTCTGCAATGTTTGCAAGCCCTATATATCTATGTTTATATCTATCTAGACATCTGTGTGTGTGCATTTCCTCTGCAATATTTGCAAGCCCTATATATCTATGTTTATATTTATCTAGACATCTGTGTGTGTGTGTGCATTTCCTCTGAATATTTGCAAGCCCTATATATCTATGTTTATATCTATCTAGACGTGCGTGTGTGTTTGCATTTCCTCTGCAATCTTTGCAAGCCCTATATATCTATGCTTATATCTATCTAGACATGTGTGTGAGCATTTCCTCTGCAATATTTGCAAGCCCTATATATCTATGTTTATATTTATCTAGACATCTCTGTGTGTGTGTGCACGCGTGTGTGTGCATTTCCTCTGCAATATTTGCAAGCCCTATATATCTATGTTTATATCTATCTAGACATCTGTGTGAGCATTCCCTCTGCAATATTTGCACGCCCTATATATCTATGTTTATATCTATCTGGACATGTGTGCATGTCTGCCATTTCCTCTGCAATATTTGCAAGCCCTATATATCTATGTTTATATCTATCTAGACATCTGTGTGTGTGTCAATATCCCAAAGTCTGCTCTTATGGAATGAAAGATGTGGTAGGGGAACATGTTGCCTTTTCCGCAAGAGACAGATTATGGAAGTCAATATCCCAAAGTGTGCTCTTGACTGGCTTGTAAGCATTTAGAGCCTTTCCGAAGACAGGGTCATGGTTTGATCTTTTTGAGAATGATCAAAGAACGCCATTCCGAAATAAAAAGATTTGGCAACAGAGAGGGAATATAGTCCAGCGTCTAATCTCCTTCCCTTTGTTCCCCCTTGGATCCAGCAGGAAATGTGTGCCAGGCCCAGAAGCTGGCCGACGTGGACAGCGAGCTAGCAGCGATGCTCTTCTCCCGCCTGCGCGAGGCCAGCACCGCCTTCCAGCACAGCGGCCGGGAGGCCAGCGCAACCCGGAGGCGGAAGCTGGAGAGGATGCTCTCGGTCCGGAAGCGGGAGTCCCAAGAGGGAGATGGTGGGAGGAAGAAGGCCGCCCTTGTCCTGGTGAGAACTGGGAATGCTGGGTGGGAAAGCATTCTTATTCTCCGGCAGACCAGTAGATCTCTCCACGGGCCCCATTTGCCCTTCATTTTACTCCCTGAGGTGAAGGATAAGATGGCATCCATCCTCCCCAACAGTTGAGGTGTTCATTAGACTCATAGGTCAAAGTCCCATAGCGGAATACGAGCCGTCCTCAAGTTATGAACAAGATTAGTTCTGGAGGTTAAGTTGAATTTGTTCATAAGTCAGAACTGGGACACTTTTTAAGTGTAGCTCCAGCCTTGCATGGATGTATGTATGTGTATATATCTATATATATGCTAGGGTTGGGCGGTTTCGTTCATTAATTTCGTAATTCGTTATTAATTCGTATTTAAATTAGCTTACGATCCAATATTGAGCCATGCAGGAATAGTGTGAGGAGTAAATTAGATTCGAAACAATTTTTTCAATTTATTTCGTAATTATTTTGTAATTATTTTGTAATTATTTTCGCATGTCTGGTGCAAGTTTTGTAGTTGTTGTGTGTTTTATCACACCAACAGTCAACAACAGAGGGAGAGGGAAGCTTCAGAAGTTCCCCCTGTCCCATTTGGAGGTTTTTTGAGCATATTGCGCAATTGCGTCCGCCATTAACGAATCGATTCGTAATTATACGAAATTTCGTATATTTCGAAATTTTTAAAAGGAAAATTTCGGAATTATTAAAAAAAACGAAACACAATGGACCCCTAAAAACGAAACGAGTTTAGAACCAAATTTTTCCGTGGTTGCCCAAGCCTAATATATGCATAATGTGTGTGTGTGTATTCTTAAGTTGAATTTTCCATAAGTCAGAACACACTCACACACATAGAGGCAGTCCCCAAATTACAAACAAGATTGGTTCCGTAGGTTTGATCTTAAGTTGAATTGTTTGTAAGTCGGAACAAGGACATTTTTAAGTGTAACTCCAGCTGTGTGTGTGTGTGTGTGTGTGTGTGTGTGTGTGTGTATATTAGGTTTGGGTAACCACGGAAAAATTTGGTTCTAAACTCGTTTCGTTTTTAGGGGGGCCCTTGCATTTCGTTTTTTTTAAAGAATTCCGAAATTTCCCTTTAAAAAATTTCGAAATATACGAAATTTCATAAAATTACGAATCGATTCGTTAATGGCGGACACGACCGCGCAATACGCTAAAAAAACCTCCAAATGGGACAGGGGGAACTTCTGAAGCTTCCCTCTCCCTCTGTTGTTGACTGTTGGTGTGATAATTATATATTTTTTTCACTGATAAAACAAACAACAACTATAAAACTTGCACCAGACATACGGAAATAATAACGAAACGATTTCGAAACTATTTCGAAATAATTACGAAACAATTACGAAACAATTATGAAATGAATTGAAAAATTCGTTTCGATTTTTAGTTGCTCCTGAATGGTTCAATATCGCTTCGTTATAAAAAAACGAATTAATAACGAATTACGAAATTAACGAACGAAACCGCCCAGCCCTAATATCTATATCTACTAGCTGTACCCGCCACGCGTTGCTGTGGCAAACCTTCCCTCCCTCTTTCTCCTCCTTCTTTTTCTCTCTCCTTCCTTCCCTCCGTCTTTCCTTCTTTCCCTCTTTTTCTTTCTCTTCTTCTTTCTTCCTTCTCTACCTGTTTCTTTCCTCGCTTCCTTTGCTGTTTGGTTTCATCCTTCCTTGTCTCCTTTCTTCCTTCCTTCCTTCCTTCCTTCCTTCCTTCCCTCTTTCGTTCCTTCTCTCCTTCCTTCCTTCTTTCACTTTTTTATTTCCTTCTCTCTTTCCTTCCTTCTCTACCTTTCTTTCTTTCCTTCTCTCCATCTTGTATCCACACACACACACACATAAATATATATATATATTAATTTTTTTTTAAAAAAAAACCGCGAAACAGCGAGTCCGCTAAAAGCGAACCGCAAAGTAGCGAGGGAACCATATGTCTGTTTGTGTGTGTGTGTGTGTGTATGCATGCATTGAATTATATAGGGCGACGTTAATGTCTCTGTTGTGTTTCCTTTGCTGACTGTTCCCTTGTTCACTTCAATTTTGTCCCTGAGAGAATTGGATTTTGCGAAATTTGGCTTGTTGTGGAAAGAAGGATTGGAAATATAGCTTCATTGGAGATGCCTTTTCCCCCTGATAATAACTTTTTCAGGAGTGAATTTCCCTTCCAAGGGGCAGATTTCTCTCACTTCCTATTATCTCATTCCCGTTTGTAACTAAGTTGTATGTTTGTAAGTCGGGGACTGCCTTAAACTTATTGAATCAATGGTGGGACGGATTTGGTTGTTTGACGCGTATGAATCCCGAGTCAGCGAGCCGGGCTTTAGCGTCTCCTTGGAAAGAGCTGTCCAAGGTGCTGAGTGTATTGAGATGCCCTCCAGGGTCGCCACGAAGACCGCATCCAGCACACGCGGGACCTACAGCTCATCGAGGCCTACCGGGAGCACATCAAAGCCGAGAGCATCGCCAGCATGCTGAGCCATGCCATCACCACCCGCCACACCCTCTACGCCACCTTTGGCATGGCACAGTTCTTCGAGTTCGCCCTGAAAAACCCCTATAACGTCCAGCACACGGTCACCATTGAAAGCGACAACCCCGAACTCAGGTAGGAATCTACGTGAAGGTGTGCGGATATTCCAGTCCCACTGCTGAAATGTTTTTGAGAAGGTCACATTTTGGGGAAAGAGAACCTCCTCTCCCTTACTTTTTTGCAATCCATATTTTTTTTGCATATTTTAAGCAATGCAAGTATTATCATACCATTTTCTTCTCTGTGACTTATATCGCTGTATCGTCCATCTATACTAATTTACCTCACCACCCCATTGAGGAGTGAGGAAGACAGATTATTGTGTGTTTAATTTAATTGTGTGTTGTCTTATTGATAATGTTGTATATATATTTTTAATGCTTGTATTGTTGTTTTATTCCTTGTATTGTTGTATTTGGGCTCGGCCTCATGTAAGCCGCACCGAGTCCCTTAGGGAGATGGTAGCGGGGTACAAATAAAGTGATTATTATTATTATTATTATTATTATTATTATTATTATTATTATTTAATCCTCCTTATATAGCCAGGTGCTGAATCCTCATTCCTTGGACTTGCAAACAATCAGGGTCATCGGATAGTTACATACAACATAGGCAGATACTCACACTGAGTCACACAGGAGAGAGGAAGATGGATTATTTATTCCTCCTTATATAGTCATTCCTTGGACTTGCAAACAATCAGGGTCATCGGATAGTCACATACAACATAGGCAGATGCTCACACTGAGTCACACAGGAGAGAGGAAGATGGATTATTTAATCCTCTTTATATACCCTCATGCTGAATCCTCATTCCTTGGACTTGCAAACAATCAGGGTCGTCAGATAGTCACATACAACATAGGCAGATACTCACACTGAGTCACACAGGAGAGAGGAAGATGGATTATTTATTCCTCCTTATGTAGCCTCCTGCTGATAGGTCATCAGTAAGGGACACTGGCTGATGCAACCCCTTTGCAATCACCCTCACATGGTTATGGCCCAGCCATTCCCACAACCCCTTACATACTGCATCATGACATAGTCAATATCCAGATGCTATCAATATACAACATGTTTACCAAACAGTATTTTTATATGACTAGAAGTGCCATTTATAACGAAATCATCATACTGATCCCGGGAATTATTATTTTCTCTAATATATCCCACCGCCTGGCACCAATTGTAACAAAAAGATCACACATACAAGGGAAGAAATCTCAAAATACTACAAATCCCACAACTACCGATTTGGTGGGGATATGTTTCTTGGCACGGAGCGTTTAAAAGATTGATGAGGTAACGTATATAGACTGATTGTAGTTGCTGCCACCACCCAAAAAACTTTTGGGAATACTAAAGATGTTGTTGTCCCTGAGGTAAATCTTCTTATTAGGGCTGGGCGGTTTCATTCGTTAATTTCGTAATTCGTTATTAATTCGTATTTAAATTAGCTTACGATCCGATATTGAGCCATGCAGGAATTGTGTGAGGAGTACATTAGATTTGAAACAATTTTTTTAATGTATTTCGTAATTGTTTCATAATTGGTTCAAATTGTTTCGTAATTATTTCGTAATTATTTTCGCATGTCTGGTCCAAGTTTTATAGTTGTTGTTTGTTTTATCACACCAACAGTCAACAACAGAGGGAGAGGTAAGCTTCAGAAGTTCCTCCTGTCACATTTGGAGGTTTCTTCAGCATATTGCGCAATCTCGTCCGCCATTAATGAATCGATTCGAAATTAACGAAATTTAGTAAATAACAAAATTTTGAAATCTCAAAATTTCGGAAGTATTTAAAATTTGGAGACACACAAGCTTAAATGGTTACAGAGCACAATAATCTTAGTGGTTACTAGAATAGGTTTCTGTACTGAAACGTGAGCTAGATCCCTCACTTTACCCTGGTCCAGTAGCAGTGACTCCCTCAGACAAATCAACCTCGGTTGTCCCCAGAGTAAATAGCTTCCCTCTTAAGAGAGTTCACTACCAGCTAAACTACTCTGACTTCAGAGAGTAGAACACTTGTGTTCTCAATCCAACATAAGCCCACAGGTGTCTACTTTGACCCTTCTGGCCAAATAGATGAAGAATCACCTGCCCCAAAAATCTCTGTCAGTAAAAATTAGGGCTGGGTAACCACGGAAAAATTTGTTTCTAAACTCGATTCATATATATATATATATATATATATATATATATATATATATATATATATATAATATTATATTAAATATATTATTTGTGGGTCCATCACGTTTCGTTTCTTTAAAGAATTCCAAAATTTTCCTTTTAAAAATTTCGAAATATACGAAATTTTGTAAATTTCGAATCGATTCGTTAATGACAGACGCAATTGCGCAATATGCTAAAAAAACCCTCCAAATATGCTAAAAATATGCTGAAAAAACCTCCAAATGGGACAGGGGGAACTTCTAAAGCTTCCCTCTCCCTCTGTTGTTGACTGTTGGTGTGATAAAACAAACAACTATAAAACTTGCACCAGACATGCGAAAATAATTACGAAACAATTTCGAAACAATTACGAAACAATTACGAAATAAGTTGAAAAATTGTTTCGAATCTATTTAACTCCTCACACTATTCCAAAATGGCTCAATATCGGATCGTAAGCTAATTTAAATACGAATTAATAACGAATTACGAAATTAACGAACGAAACCGCCCAGCTCTAGTAAAAATCTGTGCTCACCCAAAACTCTCCCACCCTCTCCCTTCAAAGCCAAATTCCTCTTCTCCCTTCTGTGACAAGTTGCCAGCTTATTCCTCTCTCGGCTCAACTCCTCCCATTCTGCCTTAGCCAATCCAGGGATAGCTCCAACTCCTCCCACTATTCTATTCTAACCCTCCTAAGATGTCTGCCTCCCTGGTTTACCCTCTCAAAATGGAGGCTGTCTTACTGACATCCTAGGCTCCGGCCTACGAGGTAAAGATCATCACACCGTTCCATTTCTATCTAACATTCTTTGTGTGTGTGTGTGTGTGTGTGTGTAACCAGCAAGCTCACTTTTCTCCATGTGACGGTACTTTGGGAAATGTGACTTTGTTTCACCCTCGTAACCTCCAAATGTTGCTAGCTTCAGACACCTGCGTTCCTTCTTGTTCGTCACTTCCCAGCTCTGGGTAGAAGGAGTCAGAAAATGGGAAGCCCTGACAGCACAATAACAACTGCAGTCGTTGTTTCATCTTCTTTGACCAGTGTCATCGTGGACACCCGAGAATGGAAGCATTTTAAGGACCTGACCCAGACAGTCACCCCATTGGAGGAGGACATGTTCCACCTACAGGACAGCCTCGCCCCCCAGGTCTACCTGCGCCCTAAGGAGACGGTCCACATCCCCTTCAAGTACCAGGCCTTCTGCATGGACTCCAGTGCCATGATGCAGGTAGGGAAATTGTAGCGAATTTGTTGATCTATCTTAAATTTTTGATGTATAGCTCTATGTTGCAATGCGGCAGAATTGGCAGAAATAGGGTAGCAACAGTAGAGGCAAGATTAATTTGCATATGTGCAGCCGATTGGTCGTATGCAGATGAGTGTAGGCCAGGATTTGAAAGGGCCACTGAGCCAGAATGGCAGATGGGGGGAAGAGAGCTGAACATTCCAAAGGGGCGGAGTTAAGTTTAAAAATAGGCGGTTAGAGAGTCAAAAAGATTTAGTTAGGGATTCCTGTTTGTGGAGGACAGTTAAGAACTTCTGTGAGAGAAAAGCAGTTAGGAAAATGGAGATTAAGTTTTAAGGAAAATAAAGAAGTGCCAGTGTGGTTTAAGGCGGAATATAGTTCTGTCAAGAATGTATGAAAAAGTAACATATTTGTTGATGTGAAACAGTTGAAGTTTGATAAGAAAAGTTAACTAAGTGGATGATGTAAGACCCAAGACCATAACAGAACATACAAATGTAACCATAAGCCTTGGAGCCAGAAGCTATAAATAAACTTTGTTACTTCATTTACTACAAGAGTGTCTCAAGCCTGTAATAGTGTCTCAAGCCTGTCACACAATAAAAGACACCTGAAAAAGGACTGAAGTAGTGAAAGGTCACCTCAGAAATCCTCAGCATATACAGTACTTTCTCACATCTGTTCCCTTAGGAGAGTTTGGCTCAAGGAGGCTTAGGATCTCACATAACAGAGCAGGGCGATAGCAGAGAGTCTCAAAAGCAGGCACAGGCCAACTTCAGCCTTCCCGCCAGGTGTTTTGGACTTCAACTCCCACAATTCCTAACTGCTTTGGGGGTTTCAGAGCCTCCCAAAAAGTGGACCCCCAGAACTCTATTACAAGAGACATAGAATAGAGGAATTATTGGGGGAGACTAGGATGTTTTCGAAGCCCCTGAAAAAGCCAGATAGCAGAGGATTGCTCCTGATTGTTCTGGGGAAAATGCACAGCATGAGAGAGAGAGAGAGAAAAAAAAGAGGCCTTTCCCCTGCAGCCTGATTGAGTTCAACCCCGAGGGAGGCTTCCCTTTCAACTCCACACCTTCCCTTTGATTTCCAGCAAGGTCCTGCAGAGCTGACATTCTGCGAAGGCCAGAAGGACGCATCCGCCTCCGCCGCCTCCTGGAAGCCCAGCGGCTCGCAGACGAAACACATCAAGGTAAATCCCATCAATCGACAAGGCAGAAGTGATGACACAGCAAGAGCTGGTGGCATTTGGATTGTTTGAAAAGCAAAGTTGGGACCTGTGTCTGAACCTCCCTCAAAACAGGTTTCGGGCTAAAATCCTGGGTGGATTAAACCATCCCACTGACATGGGTCTCTGTCGTTTATTAGCGGGCAAGTTTGGCCTGGTTTGTGACGAAACCCAGGCCTCGAAACCCAGTTGGTTTTAACTTGCGGGATTTTAATTGTGTGAATTTTAACCTAACTCCTTATCTAATGTTGCGGTTTCTGGCTCCTCTGACTGACCTTGTAGCCCTGCACTTTGCAAGTCAGCCTATTGCAAGGGGTGTGCAATATGGCCATGTTCTAGAAGCATTCTCTCCTGACGTTTCGCCTGCATCTATTTCACACATCCTCAGAGGTTGTGAGGTCTCTTTGCCTAACTCCTTATCTAATGTTGCAGTTTCTGGCTCCTCTGACCGACCTTGTAGCCCTGCACTTTGCAAGTCAGCATATTGCAAGGGGTGTGCAATATGGCCATGTTCTAGAAGCATTCTCTTCTGACGTTTCACCTGCATTTATGGCAGACATCCTCAGAGGTTGTGAGGTCTCTTCTCCTAACTCCTCATCTAATGTTGCAGTTTCTGGCTCCTCTGACTGACCTTGTAGCCCTGCACTTTGCAAGTCAGCCTATTGCAAGCAGTGTGCAATATGGCCATGTTCTAGAAGCATTCTCTCTTGACGTTTCGCCTGCATCTATGGCAGACATCCTCAGAGGTTGTGAGGTCTGTTGGAACTAGTTGGAACTAGGAAAATTGGGTTTATATATCTGTGGAAACTGCAGGGTGAGATCATCCTGCTCTCCTAAAGGGCCTGGTTTAGGGGATGTTGGGAGCTGTAGTCCGTAAGAGAGTGTGAATATGCTATTGTGTGTTTGTTTCCCAGGGGGAGTTGTTTTTGCGCATGCGCTGTAGTGTCTTTTTGCTTTTTTTGACTTTTTAAGTCCTTTCCACTTTGTTTTCAATGTTTTTATGAGTGGTAGTCATTCATTGGTGTGATAGGTGTCTTGAGTCCAAATTTGGTGTCAATTCGTCCAGTGGTTTTTGAGTTGTGTTAATCCCACAAAAAAAATTACATTTTTATTTATATAGAAGACTAGCTGTCCCCTGCCACACATTGCTGTGGCCCAGTCTGTGTACATGTATTTTGTGTGTGTATATATTTGTGTATATGTGTGTTTGCATATGTATGTGTGTGTGTGTGTGTGTGTGGTTTTACGCATGCTTTGTAATGTTTTGGGGTTTTTTTTGGCTTTTTAAGTCCCTTCCGCTGTGTTTTTCAGTGTTTGTATGTGTGATGGTCACTCGTTGGCCTGAGAGGTGTCTTGTGTCCAAATTTGGTGTCATTTTGCCCAGTGGTTTTTGAATTATGTTAATCCCACAAACGAACATTACATTTTTATTTATATAGATTACATGTACATAACAATGCAGCACACATGCACATTAAATCCACGTGTCTGGGATTATTTATTATTATTATTATTATTATTATTATTATTATTATTATTATTAGTTGTTAAGCTGTAGGAGTTTCCCTACATTCCTTCAAAAACAACCCAGATTTTCAGATTCTGGCATCCCCACCAAATCCTTCGAAGCTCCAGCGGGAAAATAATAATAATCATCATCATCATCTTTATTTATACCCCGCTACCATCTCCCAAGGGACTCGGTGTGGCTTACATGAGGCCGAGCCCACAATGCAACAATACAAGCAATAACAACCACAATACGAAGCAAAATACAAGTACTAATACAAAGCAATTAAAATAAATCTCATATACATTTATCATAAACATTGAACAATAACACAAGACACATTTAAAACCCGTTTCCGTATTATCTGGAATGCCATTTACATTGAGCTCCTCACTCCCTCCTCCTTTCCCTTCCTCTCTTTTCTTGGCGGATGTCCAGGTCTCCTTCACGGCAAACGGGGGCAAACCCCTCGCTCTCCTCCGCGTCAGCGTCGAATCCCAGCCCCATGTCGTGGACCAGACCTTCCGCTTCTATCACCCGGAGCTCACCTTCCTGAAGAAGTCCATCCGCCTACCCCCGTGGCACACGCTTCCAGGTATAGCTCTTTTCCACTTTCCACATGTCTCTTGTCCCTGGAAAAGGGGCAGAAGAGGAGAGTCACGTTCATGCATGTGGGGAGCAGCACCCCGTTAGTGTTCTATTCTTTTTCCTTAAGGAAGGCTAGTTCAAGTTTTGGCTAGTTTCCTAAGGGGGATTTTTGTGGGAATTACTTTCAGGGATTCATTTCCTGAAGTAATTTTCTGTGTTGAAACTTTAAGACTTGAAACCCAGAAGTTTTTAAGATCTTTGCTCTAACGTAACCACAAGCTTTTTATGCCAGTACTTTACTGAAACCATTACGCATTTGTACCTGAATGATTTAAGCCTGTTCAATAAACGTTCTTGTTATTTTTATCAACTTATACCAGCCTCAGTGTGAATACCTTTGTGGTAAAAGGGTTATTCAAGTCAGCTTTTTACCAGCCCCACAGAAACCTATAGTGATATAGATTGTGTCACTGAGCAACCTCTCAATACTACCTCAGCCTGTTCTTTAGTAATATGGTGGCAGCGGAAACCTTTTAAAGAATTCTTTTAAGTCTCACAGTTCCAGTAATATACAGTGGGTCCAACAACTATTCTTCCTCTATATTTTTGATGAGCCAATCTGGAGTGGTGTCATCGTTGTAATTTGGTGGTACTGCTGTGTGATTTGTTATAATTGGTGGCAGCGGTGCAATTCTTTATAATTTGGTGGTACAGCGGTGTGATCGTTATAAAGGGCATCTCTTGTGATTCGGCCACCACTTCCTCTCCTCGCCAGGAGCTCCTGTGGGGATGCCGGGCAGAGAACCGGAGGTGTTTGTCCGCTGCAGCGATCCCAACATCATCTGCGAAACCAAGAAAATGGTACCGTTGTGAGACCAGATCAAACCTTAGTTGCATCGTTGGGTGGTGGAACTCTCTGCCTTGGAGTCTGGTGGATGCTTCTCCTTTTGGGGGGGGGGCTCTGTTTGAGCTTTCCCTGCTTGATAGCAGAAAGGGGATGGCCTCTGGGGTGTCCTTGCTAACAGCCTGCCCTTGCTTTCCCACCCAGGGCCCTGGCGAACCACAGGATGTCTTTCTGAAAGTCGCTGGAGGGCCCAGTCCACAGATCAAGCGGTTCTTTCTGGCCATTTACACGTGAGTTATTTATTTATTTCCTATATTTATATTTATTTTCCCCTTCATGTAGTCTGTGAAAGATGCACATAATGGGTTTTGTTCTGCGCATGCGCAGCTCTTCGGAACCTTCTAGAATCTTAAAATAGAAACGTTTTGGTGGACGCCCCGCCCACTCTCCCTAGTACTATAAATATCCAAGGCGGGAGCCTCGGCTTAATTCCTTTTTCCGCGAATGGGTTCCTCGGTGGCGACGGTTATACTTCGTTCTGTATCTTTTATGAAACTGAATTTTAATGTGCGTTTGTAGAATTTTTTACAGTATTTTTGTGTTTTTAACTATGCTGTGACCCGCCTTGAGCTGTGGGGAGAGGCGGGTAAGAAATATAATAATAATAATAATAATAATAATAATAATAATAATAATAATAATAATGCAGTGCCAAAAGATCTCAGCCAGCATTTGGAAACAATAAACATCGACAAAATCCCGATCTGCCAACTGACTTGGATCTGCATGCATCATTCGAAAATGCATCACACAGTCCTAGACGCTTGGGAAGGGTTCGACTTGTGATTTTGTGATACAAAATCCAGCATAGAGATATTTTTTGCTGTGACAAACTATGGTTTTGTAAAAAAAATATTAATAATAATGATAATACTTACTATTATTATTTTAAAAAGACAAAGGCTTGGCTCCTATACTTCACTATCAGTTAGCTACACTACTACTACTACTACTACTACTACTATTATTATTATTAAAATATTATTATTTATTATTATTAAAATATTATTATTAATTATTATTATTAATTATTATTATTATTAAAAAACAAAGGCTTGGCTCCTATACTTCACTATCGGTTAGCTACACTATTATTATTATTATTATTATTATTATTATTATTATTATTATTTTAAAAAGACAAAGGTTTGGTTCCTATACTTCACTATTGGTTAGCTACACTATTATTATTATTATTATTATTATTATTAAAATATTTTATTATTATTATTATTATTATTTTAAAAAGACAAAGGCTTGGTTCCTATACTTCACTATTGGTTAGCTACACTATTATTATTATTATTAAAAATATTTATTATTATTATTATTATTATTATTATTATTATTATTTTAAAAAGACAAAGGCTTGGCTCCTATACTTCACTATCGGTTAGCTACCCTATTATTATTATTATTAAAATATTATTATTATTATTATTATAAATATTTATTATTATTATTATTATTATTTTAAAAAGACAAAGGTTTGATTCCTATACTTCACTATCGGTTAGCTACACTATTATTATTATTAAAATTATTATTATTATTAATTATTATTAATTATTATTATTATTATTTTAAAAAGACAAAAGATTGGTTCCTATACTTCACTATCGGTTAGCTACGCTATTATTATTATTATTATTATTATTATTATTATTATTATTATTATTATTATTATTAAAATATGATTATTATTTATTATTATTATTATTATTATTATTATTATTATCTTAAAAAGACAGAGGTTTGGTTTCTATACTTCACTATCAGTTAGTTACACTATTATTATTATTATTATTATTATTATCATTATTATTATTATTATTATTATTATTATTTTAAAAAGACAAAGGTTTGGCTCCTATACTTCACTATCGGTTAGCTACACTATTATTATTATTATTATTATTATTATTATCATTAAAATATTATTATTATTATTATTAAAATATTATTATTATTATTATTATTATTATTATTTTAAAAAGACAAAGGTTTGGTTCCTACACTTCACTATCGGTTAGCTACACTATTATTATTATTATTATTATTATTATTATTATTATTATTATTATTAAAATTATTATTAATTATTATTATTATTTTAAAAAGACAGAGGTTTGGTTTCTATACTTCACTATCAGTTAGTTACACTATTATTATTATTAATAATAATAATAATAATAATAATAATATTTTTTTGCTGTCACACCCAAAGGATGTATGTGTGTGCAGCTGTACACTTCGGTTTCTCAGCCACTGTGGGATCAAGCAAGTGAATGATCTTCATACAGGTGTTTTTATATATGTCCTATATATAAAGCTGTTTATATATATGTGTGTAATGATGATGATGATGATGATGATGATTATGTCCGACGTGTGATCCAATACAACAGCCAGCGGAGCGTCTGCTGTGGACTCATCTTGTTGTGTTTCTAATAATAATAATAATAATTATTATTATTATATCCAACGTGTGATCCAATACAACAGCCAGCAGAGTGTCTGCTGTGGACTCATCTTGCTGTGTTTCTAATAATAATAATAATAATAATAATAATTATTATTATTATTATTATTATTATTATTTTTAGTATTTCCAATGTGTGATCCAATACAACAGCCAGCAGAGTGTCTGCTGTGGACTCATCTTGCTGTGTTTCTAATACTAATAATAATAATAATAATTATTATTATTAGTATTAGTATTTCCAACGTGTGATCCAATACAACAGCCAGCAGAGCGTCTGCTGTGGACTCATCTTGTGTTTCTAATAATAATAATAATAATAATAATAATAATAATAATAATAATAATAATTCATTGTAATATGTAGTTTTATAGAATACAACAGCCAGCAGAGTGTTTGCTGTGGACTCATCTTGTTGTGTTTCTAATAATAATAATAATAATAATAATAATAATAATAATTCACAGACTCACACCAATACAACAGCCAGCAGAGTGTCTGCTGTGGACTCATCTTGTTGTGTTTCATAATAATAATAATAATAATAATAATAATAATTAGTATTAGTATTTCCAACGTGTGATCCAATACAACAGCCAGCAGAGCATCTGCTGTGGACTCATCTTGTGTTTCTAATAATAATAATAATAATAATAATAATAATAATAATAATTAGTATTAGTATTTCCAACGTGTGATCCAATACAACAGCCAGCAGAGTGTCTGCTGTGGACTCATCTTGTTGTGTTTCAAATAATAATAATAATAATAATAATAATAATAATTATTATTATTATTATTATTATATCCAATGTGTGATCCAATACAACAGCCAGCAGAGCGTCTGATGTGGACTCATCTTGTGTTTCAAATTATTATTATTATTATTATTATTATTATTATTATTATTATTATTATTATGTCCAATGTGTGATCCAATACAACAGCCAGCAGAGCGTCTGCTGTGGACTCATCTTGTTGTGTTTCTAATAATAATAATAATTATTATTATTATTAATATTATTACGTCCAACGTGTGATCCAATACAACAGACAGCAGAGTGTCTGCTTTAGACTCATCTTGTTGTGTTTCTAATAATAATAATAATAATAATAATAATTATTATTATTATTATTATTATGTCCAACGTGTGATCCAATACCACAGCCAGCAGAGCATCTGTTGTGGACTCATCTTGTTGTGTTTAATAATAACAATAAAATAAATAAATAAACAATAAAGTGTCCGACGTGTGATCCAATACAACAGCCAGCAGAGTGTCTGCTGTGGTCTCATCTTGTTGTTTTTCAAATAATGATGATAATAATAATAATAATAATAATAATAATTATTATTATTATTATTATTATTATTATTATTATTATTATGTCCAACGTGTGATCCAATACAACAGCCAGCAGAGTGTCTGCTGTGGACTCATCTTGTTGTGTTTCAAATAATAATAATAACAATAATAATAATTATTATTATTAGTAGTAGTAGTAGTAGTATTTCCAATGTGTGATCCAATCCAACAGCCAGCAGAGCATCTACTGTGGACTCATCTTGTTGTGTTTCTAATAATAATAATAATAATAATAATAATAATAATAATAATAATTACATCCAACCTGTGATCCAATACAACAGCCAGCAGAGTGTCCGCTGTGGACTCATCTTGTTGTGTTTCAAATAGTAATAGTAATAATAATAATAATAATAATAATAATAATAATAATAATAATCCCACGATGGCACAATGGGTTAAGCCTTTGTGCTGACAGGACTGCAGACTGACAGTTCAGCAGTTTGAATCCATGGAGAGTGGGTTGAGCTCCCTCCGTCAGCTCCAGCTCCTCATGCAAGGACATGAGAGAAGCCTCCCATAAGGATGGTAAAACATCAAAACATCCGGGCAACGTCCCCTGGGCTACGTCCTTGCATACGGCCAATTCTCTCTCACCAGAAGCAACTTGCAGAAAAATATTATTATTCTGAGACTAAATGTACAGCAGAAATAATATTTTTCTGTTGGAAAAATATTATTTACAGAAAAATATTACAGAAAAATTTACAGAAAAATTTACAGAAAAATATTATTATTCTGAGACTAAATGTACAGCAGATCCTGAAACATTCCCTAGAACGATAGGAGTTGTTTGCAAATCTCTACTTTGATTTGGGAGTTTTTTCTATCGAGTGTTTGGGGTTTTTTTTGTCTTTGCAAAAACAGCAGTAACAAAGAGTGTGATTTTCGCCCCACCAGGCATAGGAAGTGCTTAATTTATTAATTTATTCTGTGTGTGTATGTGCAAATATATCTATTTCTCTCTGGTGGGGTGTTGTTTTGAATCCAGGGATCCCTGGCTGGCCGCTCCGACCCAGATCTGGCAGTTCTACCTGCATTCGTTGCAACGGATCGATGTGAGCTGCGTGACGGGGCAGCTGACCCGCCTCTCGCTGTTGCTGCGTGGGACGCAAAGCCTCCGGAAGGTGAAGGCCTACTCGTCCCACCCGCAGGAGCTGAAGGTGAGCGTGGGTGGCTCCCAGGCTTTGCTCGCAGGTTGATTTCCACCTCCGCCCGCTTCCTTGGCTGCTTGACTTGGCTTGCTCCAGGGCCGGCGGTCTCTAATATATATTAATGAATGCAATCCTCCTCCTCCGCACCCCCTAAATAGGAAGCCAGGCAGCCTACAGACACGCGCCCGCTCCTTCCTTGCCTATTTATGAAGCCTTGGAGCGCCGTCCTGTCCGTGTTTACTCGCAATAAATGGAGCTTATTCCCCGTTAAATGTGCATACGGTTTCCACCCTCCACACACACACACGCAAAGAAATATAAATACTTTTGTTTTGTATAAACCAAACAGCAAATGTACCCAAGATGGAATAAAAGCAAATATACCCAAGGCTACATGGGAAAAAAAAGAGAGACAGAGCTGCAGACTGCTGCATACATCTATCACAGTTCTTACTGTTGGAGGAGCCAGGGAAAAAACAAAACAAGAACGGAAAGTAAACAGAAGCTGCCAGCTTTTGCAGTAAATAACAGCAATGGTATTTTTTAGCTGGAAGTGGTCACACATTGAGCTTGGGCGCTTCTCTCAGGAAAACGTTGCTCCGGGTGCAGAAACGTGGTAGATGTGTTTACATGATGTGCATCGGAATTATAATCAGCTCGTGCTGCATGGTCTGTTGTATACAAGGATCTTGAGCAGGGTTGGTGTTATAGAGCTAAAATTTATGGAGGCAGACACCAATTAGACTCATCAAAGAGTTCTTTTTCCCTGGTGAGACAGAGAAGCATCCCATATTTTTTCCTGATTTCCCAATGAAAAGTCTCACCAGTTGAAGAAAAGCTATCGAGGTTTAATGCGATTCAGCTGGAACGGATGCAAAGCTGCAATCATTCGCCAAAGCTAAGCATGAGGGGAGTACACCAATACAGTCATATTTATAGCAAATTCAAAGTTGCAGAGTTCAAACTCCCCGCCCCGGCTTCCCTGTTGTTCCCCGCCATGATTGGGCGATGGGCGAACAGCTGGGAGGCGGCCCTCCCGCCCCCGGCGCCTCTGGAACAATCAGGAAGCTCCAGTGGTCCGTAGGATCCAATTGGGAGACCTCTGCCACCTGATGGCAACAGCAAATCAGGAGAGGGAGGCGGGATGAGGGAACACAATAGAGTCTATGAATGAGTTTTGAAAAAAGGAAATGCCATGTGGCCTGCGAGACAAAGGAAACATCTCAAAACAGGGCTAGTCTATTGTCCCTTGAGTGGCATGTGTGAGGAAAGACCAGATTTTTCCAGGCCAGCAAACAATGAAGATAAGGCTGAAGTGATTGTTCTTTGATGAATATACAATAAAATTTAATCAGTGCGGAGGTGAGGGCTTTCCTAAGGCCCACTGATCTCCAGATAGGGAAATGGCCAGGGGTCTGCCAGGGGGCAAACAGCATTGTTGGGAAAATGCTGCGCTCGCAGAGCTCGGGGCTTAATATAAAAAAAGCACCTTGGTCTCCTTGAAGCAGATAATGTTTGAGGACCGGTACATCTGTAGGGAGACCAAGGAGCTTGTTTATAAAGCAATTGTCCTCCTAACCCTGCTATACGCCTGTGAGACATGGACTGTCTACAGACATCAACATTGACACTGAAATACAACAACGCCTGAGCTCTGCGAGTGCAGCATTTTTCTGAATGAAGCAGAGAGTGTTTGAGGACTGGGACATCCGTAGGGATACTAAGGTGGATGTTTATTAAGCTATTGTCCTCCCAACCCTGCTATATGCCTGCGAGACGTGGACTGTCTACAGATGCCACATGCAACTCCTAGAACGATTCCATCAGCATTGCCTCTGAAAAATCCTGCAAATCTCTTCGGAAGACAAGTGGACAAAAGTCAGCCTGCTGGAAGAAGCAAAGGCCACCAGCACTGAAGCAATGGTCCTCCGGCATCAACTCCACTGGATTGGCCACATTGTCCGAATGCCCGACCAACATCTCCCAGAATAGTTGCTCTATTCCAAATTCAAGAATGGAAAACGGAATGTTGGAAAACAGGAAAAGAGTTTTAAAGATGGGCTCAACCTTAAAAACGGAGAACTGGGAAGCCCTGGCCCTTGACCGCTCCTGCTGGAGGTCAGCTGTGACCAGTAGTGGTGTAGAATTTGAGGAGGCACGAATGGAGGGTGAAAGAGAGAAACGTGCCAAGAGGAAGGCGCGTCAAGACAACTCCGACCGAGACCGCCTTCCACCTGCAAACCAATGCCCTCACTGCGGGAGAAGATGCAGGTCAAGAATAGGGCTCCACAGTCACCTACGGACCGACCTCCAGGACACCGATCTTGGAAGATAATCCTACTCGGACAAGGAGGGATTGCCTAATCCCTAATCTGATCCCTTTTTTCGATAGAGTTACAAGCTGGGTAGATGCGGGGGATGCTGTGGATGTAGCATACCTGGATTTCAGGAAGGCCTTCGACAAGGTCCCTCATGACCTTCTGGCAAGGAAACTAGTCCAATGTGGGCTAGGCAAAACTACGGTGAGGTGGATTTGTAATTGGTTAAATGGACGAACCCAGAGGGTGATTCTCCCCAATGCTTCCTCTTCATCTTGGAAAGAAGTGACGAGTGGAGTGCCACAAGCAGGGTTTTCCCGTCCTGGGCCCGGTCCTGCTCAGGATCTCTATTAATGACTTAGATGAAGGGTGAGAAGGCATGATCATCAAGTTTGCAGACGACACCAAATTGGGAGGGATAGCCAATACTCCAGAGGACAGGAGCAGAATTCAAAACGATCTTGACAGATTAGAGAGATGGGCCAAAACTAACAAAATGAAGTTCAACAGTGACAAATGCAAAATACTCCACTTGGGCAGGAAAAACGAAATGCAAAGATACAAAATGGGGGACAAGGCCTGGCTCAAGAGCAGTACGTGCGAAAAAGATCTTGGAGTCCTTGTGGACAACAAGTTAAACATGAGCCAATGTGATGTGGCGGCAAAAAAAGCCAATGGGATTTTGGCCTGCATCAAGAGGAGCCTAGTGTCTAGATCTAGGGAAGTCATGCTCCCCATGCTCTATTCGCTTTGGTTAGACCACGTTACCTGGAATATTGTGTCCAATTCTGGGCACCACAATTCAAGAGAGATATTGACAAGCTGGAATGTGTCCAGAGGAGGGCGACTCAAATGATCAAGGGTCTGGACAAGCCCTATGAGGAGCGGCTTAAGGAGCTGGGCATGTTTAGCCTGAAGAAGAGAAGGCTGAGAGGAGATATGATAGCCATGTATAAATATGTGAGAGGAAGCCACAGGGAGGAGGGAGCAAGCTTGTTTTCTGCTGCCCTGGAGACTAGGATGCAAACAGTGGCTTCAAACTACAAGAAAGGAGATTCCAACTGAACATTTGGAAGAACTTCCTGGCTGTGAGAGCCATTCAGTAGTGGAACTCTCTGCCTCAGTGTGGTGGAGGCTCCTTTGGAGCTTTTAAATAGAGGCTGGATGTCCATCTGTTGGGGTGATTTGAATGCAATATTCCTGCTTCTTGGCAGAATGGGGTTGAACTGGATGGCCCATGTGGTCTCTTCCAACTCTTTGATTCTATGATTCTATGATTCCGACTCTTATTATTCTGTGATCCTATGAGCCGGGATATAAATGAAACGCCTGCCGGCCTTTCTCTGGGGCAAGTGGCGCCGCCTCCACAAGTGGCCGCGCTTTTGCAAAGATTGGCATGGACGGTCGTGGCGAGATGGACCCTCCGCCTGGATACGAGAGGCCGTTGGGGATGGCGGAGGATTGATGGCTGCAGAGGCCCCGCTCTGTAATTGCCTTTTGATTAAAGCCGTCCGACGGAGAGATCAGTGGCCCGGAGCCCCAGTGGGCAAGTTATCTGAATTAATGAGGCTATCGGGAGACTAATAATTTCTTTAGAATGCGTTTAGTCATAATTATATCTGTGAATAATGCGAGAAACACAAACTCCATTACCCTCACATAAATTGGGAATTGCTTAAAACTTGGGACTATTCGGTGAACATCTTCGGCAAAGACAAGGGAACCCCTGGCCAATTCGCTGGAGGAGATTCAGCCATGTTCTATTCTGTATTAGCTTGGGGACCTGGCGCTGCTCGGGTAATTTGAGAAAGGCATTGTGTGCCAAGGTTGGTCTTTATCAGTCATTTATGTGGCTCGCAGTGCTCTCAGGAAGTTAGTGAAGGTACTGCGAGTCCCATCATCCATGGTTCATCCGTTTCCAAACAGTACCAGGATGTAGAGTGGGTGGTGGATGCTCTGTGTGCCAAGTTTGGTCTTGATCAGTCATTGGATGAAGGTCGCAGCGGTCTCAGGAAGTGAATGGACATAATTTCAGTCCTATCATCCGTAGTCCATCCTCCTCGAAATTGCACCAGGATGTAGAGTGGGTCATGGGGGCTCTTTGTGCCAAGTTTGGTCTTGATCAGTCATTGGATGAGGGTCACAGCGGTCTCGGGAAGTGAGTGAGGTTACTTCAAGTCCCATCATCCATGATCCATCCTCCTCCAAACCACACCAGGATGTAGAGTGGGTCATGAGGGCTCTGTGTGCCAAGTTTGGTCTATATTGGTCTTTGTTGGGGGCTGCAGTAGTCTGTGGGAACCGAAGAGTGGGAAAGTACTACAAATCCCATCATCCATTGTCCGTCCTCCCCCAAACCTCACCAGGACATAAAGGGGTCATAGGGGTTATGTGTGCCAAGTTTGCTCTTTATTGGTCTTAGTTGGGAGCCAAAGTGGTCTGTGGGAACCAAAGGGTTTTTAAGTACTACAAATCCCATCAACCTTTGTCCATCCTCCCCCAAACCTCACCAGGACGTAAAGGGGGTCATGGGGGTTATGTGTGCCAAGTTTGATCCAGTTCCGTCACCCATGCTGGTCACAGTGGCGTGTGAAAGTAGGAGCCAATCAGAAAGCTGCCACATACACCGTCTTCCCTCCGCATACAAACACTGACTTCTATTATATACATAAATTTTGTTAGTACATTTAATGTTAATTGTATAACATAAGTAGGCTTGAACAGCATCTTAGTAGTATGTTTTATACATATAATGACGACAATCATTTTGACGGTGTGGATATGAATGCTTACTTACTTACTTCCGTAGGCAATCCCTCGTTGTCCGAATAGGATGATCCTCCAGGGTCAGTGTGTAGTGTGCGGTGGGTCCGTAGGTGACTGTGGAGCCCTATTCTTGACCTGCATCTTCTCCCGCAGTGAGGGCATTGGTTTCCAGGTGGAAGGCGTTGGCTTGATGCACCTTTCTCTTGGCACGTTTCTCTCTTTCGCCCTCCATTCTACACCACTACTGGTTACAGCTGACCTCCAGCTGGAGCGCTCAAGGGCCAGGGCTTCCCAGTTCTCAGTGTCTAAGCCAGAGTTCTTAAGGTTGGCTTTGAGCCCATCTTTCAATCTCTTTTCCTGCCCTTCAACATTCTATTTTGCATTCTTGAGTTCGGAGTAGAGCAACTGCTTTGGGAGACAGTGGTCGGGCATCCGGACAACGTGGTCAGTCCAGCGGAGTTGATGGCGGAGGACCATTGCTTCAGTGCTGGTGGTCTTTGCTTCTTCTAGCACGCTGACATTTGTCCGCTTGTCTTCCCAAGAGATTTGCAGGATTTTTCAGAGGAATCGTTCCAGGAGTTGCATGTGACATCTGTAGACAGTCCACGTTTCACAGGCGTATAGCAGGGTTGGGAGGACAATAGCTTAATAAACATGCACTTTAGTATCCTTACGGATGTCCCTGTCCTCAAACACTCTCTGCTTCATTCGAAAAAATGCTGCACTCACAGAAGTCAGGCGGTGTTGTATTTCAGTGTCGACATCTGTAGACAGTCCACATCTCGCAGGCGTATAGCAGGGTTGGGAGGACAATAGTTTATAAACAAGCACTTTGGTATCCCTACGGATGTCCCGGGCCTCAAACACTATCTGCTTCATGCGCAAAAAAAGCTGCACTCGCAGTACTCAGGCGGTGTTTTATTTCAGTGTCGACATCTGTAGACAGTCCACATCTCACAGGCGTATAGCAGGGTTGGGAGGACAATAGTTTATAAACAAGCACCTTGGCCTCCTTACGGATGTCCCGGGCCTCAAACACTCTCTGCTTCATTCGCAAAAAATGCTGCACTCGCAGAACTCAGGCGGTGTTTTATTTCAGTGTCGACGTCTGTAGACAGTCCACGTCTCGCAGGCGTATAGCAGGGTTGGGAGGACAATCTATATCTATCTATCTATATCTATAATAAAGAAGAGTGTTTGTTTGTATAGGACAGAGGAAGGACGGAGGGAGGGCGGAAGTGTATGTGGCAGCGTTCTGATTGGCTGCCGCTGTGGTGCTATTTGCATATGGTCTCTGATTGGCCAGCTTCAATAGGAGCCCCTGGTGGAGAAGAGGGTTCATGGCAGAAACGGGGCATGACAGAAGGAAATTTGCATATGGTCTCTGATTGGCCAGCCTCAAATCCAACATTCCGAGATGACAAAGAGAGGAAAGGAAAGGCCGGGGGCTGGGTCAGAACACTCCCAATACAGACCGAAATAGGCACACAGAGCCCCCATCACCCACTCTACATCCTACTGCAGTTTGGAGGAGTATGAACCATGGATGATGGGACTTGCAGTACCACCACTCACATTCTGAGACCGCTGTTAACCTCATCCCATGACTGATCAGGACCAAACTTCGCACAGAGACCTCTCATGACCCACTTTACGTCCTGGTGTGGTTTGGCGGGGATGGACCGTGGATTATGGGACTTGCAGTACCATTGCTCATTCTTCAGACCACTGCAACCCTCATCCAATTACCAATACCAAACTTGGCACACTGAGTCTCCATGACGCACTCTACATCCAGGTGCAGTTTGAAGGAGGATGCACCATGGACGATGGGATTTACAATACCTAAACTCCTTCCTAAGACCATTACAACTGCCAACAATGATTTTATTTATTTATTTATTTATTTATTTGATGCATTTATTAACCGCCATTCTCAGCCCTTCAGGGCGACTCATGATGGATCAGGACCACAATTTACACTGAGAGCCTGCATGACCCACTCTACATCCTGGTGCGGTTTGGAAGAATTTGGCAATGGATGATGGGACTTGCAATCATTTCACTCACTTTCTGAGATCACTGCAACCCTCGCCAATGACTGATCAAGACCAAACCTGGCAAACAGAGTCCCCATGACCCACTCTACATCCTGGTGCACTTTCAAGGAGGACAGACCATGGATGATGGGATTTGAAGTACCTCCACTCCCTTCCCAAGACTGCTGCAACCCTCATCTAATGTCCAAACAAAACCAAACTTGGCACACAGAGCCCCCATGACCCACTCTACATCCTAATAGTTTGGAGTAGGGCATACCATGGATGATGGGACTTGAAGTACCCCTACTCGCTTTCCGAGACTGCTGGGACCCTCAACAATGACTGAACAACACAAAACTTGGCACATAGACCTCTCATGACCCACTTTGCGCTATGGTGTGGTTTGACTGTGGATCGAGCATGGATTATGGGACTTGCAGTATCTTCGCTCAATTCCTGAGACCACTGCAACCATCATCCAATTTCCGATAAGGACCAAACTTGGCACACCGGGTCTCCATGATGCACTCTACATCCTGGTGCGGTTTGGAGGATGATGCACCATGGACGATGGGACTTGCAGTTCCTTCACTCACTTAGTGAAACTACTGAGACCCTCATCCAATGACTGATGAAGACCAAACTTGGCACACAGAACCCCCATTACCCACTTTCTCTATTAACCCGGGCAACACCGGGTCCCCAAGCTAGTATATAATAAAAGTCAATGTTTGTGTGTGGGAAGGACAGAGGAAGTGTGGAGGGCGGAAGTGTATGTGGCAGCTTTCTGATTGGCTGCCACTGTGGTGCTATTTGCATATGGTCTCTGATTGGGCAGCTTCAACAGGAGCCCCTGGTGGAGAAGAGGGTTCATGACAGAAACGGGGACATGACAGAAGGAAATTTGCATATGGTCTCTGATTGGCCAGCCTCAAATCCAAGATTCCGAGATGACAGAAAAGGAAAAGGCCAAAAAAGGGCTGGGTCAGAACACTACCAATACAGACCGAAACTGGCACACAGAGCCCCCATCACCCACTCTACAACCTACTGCAGTTTGGAGGACGATGAACCATGGACGATGGGACCTGCAGTACCACCACTCACATTCTGAGACCGCTGTTAACCTCATCCAATGACTAATCAGGACCAAACTTCGCACATAGACCTCTCATGACCCACTTTACGTCCTGGTGTGGTTTGACCGAGAATGGACCATGGATTATGGGACTTGCAGTACCTTTGCTCAATTCTTGAGACCACTGCAACCCTCATCCAATTACCGATAAAGACCAAACTTGGCACACTGAGTCTCCATGACGCACTCTACATCCTGGTGCGGCTTGGAGGACAATGCACCATGGACGATGGGACTTGCAATACCTGCACTCCCTTCCTAAAACCATTATAACTGCCAACAATGATGGATCAGGACCACAATTTACACAGAGAGCCCGCATAACCCACTCTACATCCTGGTGCGGTTTGGAAGAATTTGACAATGGATGATGGGACTTGCAGTCACTTCACTCACTTCCTGAGACCACTGAGACCCTTGCCAATGACTGATCAAGACCAAACTTGGCACAGAGAGTCCCCATGACCCACTCTACATCCTGGTGTACTTTCGAGGAGGACAGACCATGGATGATAGGACTTCAAGTACCTCCACTCTCTTCCCAAGACTGCTGCAACCCTCATTAATGTCCGAACTCAACCAAACTTGGCACAAAGAGCCACCATGACCTACTCTACATCCTACTGCGGTTTGGAGTAGGGCATACCATGGATGATGGGACTTGAAGTACCCCTACTTGCTTTCCGAGACTGCTGCAACCCTCGACAATGACTGAACAACACCAAACTTGGCACATAGACCTCTCATGACCCACTTTACGCTATGGTGTGGTTTGACTGTGGATCGAGCATGGATTATGGGACTTGCAGTATCTTCGCTCAATTCCTGAGACCACTGCAACCATCATCCAATTTCCGATAAGGACCAAACTTGGCACACCGGGTCTCCATGATGCACTCTACATCCTGGTGCGGTTTGGAGGATGATGCACCATGGACGATGGGACTTGCGGTTCCTTCACTCACTTAGTGAAACTAGTGAGACCCTCATCCTATGGACTGCGAAGTAGCGGGGGAACACTGTACTTCCAAATAAATAATAGTACAATTGTCGCAGCACGTATTCCCAAATCCCGCCATCTCTCTCTCTCTCTCTCTCTCTCTCTCTCTTCCCATTTTCCTTCCAGTTGGACCCAGAAGGCGTCTTCATCCTCCCAGCAAACGGGGTACAAGACCTGCACCTGGGCATCAGGCCCCACATCGCAGGGAACCGGTTCATCTACCTCAACCTCGTGGACGTGGAATACCATCAGCTGGTCTCCTCCTGGTTGCTGTGCTTGTCCTGCCGGCAGCCCCTCATCTCCAAGGTGGGCGACCATGCAATGGGAGAACGGCCAACTCACACCCACAATCCTTTAACTGGGTGGAACTGGGGCATGTCCTTGTAATTCACAGTTGCAGGATTATTTGTATTTTGAGCGTATTTCTTGTTATGGAAATCTGGATTTTTGAGGAGGCGGGTCCCCAAACTACAGTCTGCGGGGCAGATGCGGCCCTCCAAGGTCCTTTACCCAGCCCTAAACGTTAGAATTAGGAATCATCCTAATGTGTTGGCATTAGGCTTGGGTAACCACGGAAAAATTTGGTTCTAAACTCGTTTTGTTTTTAGGGGGCCCTTGCGTTTCGTTTTTTTTAATAATTCCGAAATTTTCCTTTAAAAAATTTCGAAATATACGAAATTTCGTAAAATTACAAATCAATTCGTTAATGGCGGACGAGATTGTGCAATATGCTAAAAAAAAACCCTCCAAATGGGACAGGGGGAACTTCTGAAGCTTCCCTCTCCCTCTGTTGTTGACTGTTGGTGTGATAAAACAAACAACAACTATAAAACTTGCACCAGACATGCGGAAATAATTACGAAAAAATTACAAAATAATTACGAAATAATTTCGAAATAATTACAAAATAATTACGAAATGAATTGAAAAAATTGTTTTGAATCTAATTTACTCCTCACACTATTCCTGCATGGCTCAATATTGGATCGTAAGCTAATTTAAATACGAATTAATAACCAATTACGAAATTAACGAACGAAACCACCCAAGCCTAGTAGATAGGCACACAGAGGCTATTTAGCATTCTATCTTGTTATAGCTTCATGAGGGTATGCTCGATTCTGGCCACAGGGGGAGCTGACACTTGTGACACCGGGTCCTTTGATGGAGTACTTCCACATTCTTCTGTATGGCGCTGGAAGGTTTTATGGCATTGTAAATTAGTTAAATTGCTCTCCTCACATAAAGCAGTACCTAAATTTCTTACTTGAGAGATTCAACTGTCTTTCAGGCTGCATAGGTCAATAGCAAGCTAGACTATTAGTGGTCCACTTGTGATATTGATGGAGTACTTCCTCATTCTTCTGCACGCTGCTGGAAGGTTTTATGGCATTGTAAATTAGTTAAATTGCCCTCCTCACATAAAGCAGTACCTAAATTTCCTACTTGAGAGATTCAAATAATTACGAAATAATTACAAAATAATTATGAAATAAATTGAAAAAATTGTTTCGAATCTAATTTACTCCTCACACAATTCCTGCATGGCTCAATATTGGATCGTAAGCTAATTTAAATACGAATTAATAACGAATTACAAAATTAACGAACGAAACCGCCCAAGCCTATTAGGAATCATCCTAATGTGTTGGCATGGCGAATTAAATAAAGGATTATATGTGATGGGATTGTTCAAATGATGTGGTGGGAATGTCCAAAGGTAACACAGTGAAGAAAATGGAAAACCTATTCAAAATATCACTTGGACTGAATATAGATTTGATGCTAATATGAGACATGAAGGCGACATGAAGATGAACGTGAAAGAACAAGAATTGTTTAAAGCTGTTCTCTCTCATGTGTGTTTCTGGTTTGTGATTGGTAATAGAAACTAGAAATACTTGTGCCTCAACAATGTCCCTACTATTTACAACCCTTTCAGGCCTTTGAAATTGTGCTCCCCGCTGGAGGAGGGAAAGGCTGTAACAAGAGAATCACCTATGCCAACCCCTACCCGTCTCGGAGGATGTATTTCCTTCATACCAACCGTCCAGACTTGCTGCAGTTCAAGGAAGATTCCTTTGAGGTAGTGCTTTTAAGTTGGGATTTCTTATACTTGTCCACTCGTGTCCCTCTTCCGGCCTGAGAAATTTGTATGTGACCCTAAATATAATAGGTATAAAATTCAGTGTTCCCTGACTTATAGCGGGGGTTCCGTTCCCGGACCACCTGCGATAAGTGAAAAGCCACAAAGTTAGGATGCCATATTAATTTTAATATTTATACATTATTTTACATATTTTGTATATTATTTCCTTACCCGCGCTTGCTTACCCGCCTCCTTGACCATCCCAAGGGCACCTGCCTGCCTCCCTGGCCTCCACAGAGACTCCGGAGCCACGCAGGCAGCAGCAAGCTAGGGAGGCAGGCCTTCCCTGCCGTGCCTCAGACCGCCACACTTCCCGGGGTCTGTGGAGTCCAGGGAGGCAGGCCTTCCCCGCTATGCCTCAGGCCGCCACACTTCCGGGGTCTGTGGAGTCCAGGGAGGCAGGCCTTCCCCACCGCACCTCAGGCTGCACCACACTTCTGGGGTCTGTGGAGTCCAGGGTGGCAGGCCTTCTCCGCCGCGCCTCAGGCCGCCACACTTCCGGGGCCTGTGGAGTCCAGGGAGGCAGGCCTTCCCCACCACGCCTCAGGCCGCCACTTCTCTGGGGTCTGTGGAGTCCAGGGAGGCAGGCCTTCCCTGCTATGCCTCAGGCCGCCACACTTCTGGGGTCTGTGGAGTCCAGGGAGGTAGGCCTTCCCCGCTATGCCTCAGGCCGCCACACTTCTGGGGTCTGTGGGGTCCAGGGAGGCAGGCCTTCCCCACCACGCCTCAGACTGCCACTTTTCTGGGGTCTGTGGAGTCCAGGGAGGCAGGCCTTCCCTGCCGCTCCTCAGGCTGCCACACTTCCGGGGTCCTTGGCCTCCACTGGAGGTAAATATTTAATTTTTTTAAAATTTATATTTTCAAAAACCCGTGAAACAGCGAGTCCGCTAAAAGCGAACTGCAAAGTAGCGAGGGAACACTGTACTGTTAATGAATCAGCATTTGCAAGGCTTGCTAAATAGGGTGGTTTCTTTTTTTTATGAAGTACAGCTGAAGCATCCTCTGCAGAGTTTGCTGTAAATACTGAACAACACTTTCGTGTCAATGTCCAAAACATTCAGAATTTTGCGGAAATTATATTCTGTGATCGTGTCCTGAAACCGACCTCGCTGCAGCTCCCACTCTTGTTTTTTCCCTCACAGATCGGCGGAGGCGAGGCCTACACCATTGGCTTACGCTTTGCCCCGAGCCAGAGCTCCGGCCAGGAAGAGATTCTCATTTATATCAACGATCGGGAAGATAAGAATGAAGAGACCTTTTGTGTGAAGGTCACCTACCAGTAATAGGATGTGCGTGTGTCTCTCTCTGTTTAACTGGGTCGTTTTTTAACTCCCTCTGGCTATCCGTCAGACTTCCCCGGAGACCTTCTGGTCTTCCTTTCCTTAGTCCCATCTGCCCCCGAGTCATCCCTTGAGTGGCCTTCTCCCTTGACCCTGTCTATTCATCCTATGTCGGCATGTACACTTGCGCCAACACAACCCAATCAAGTTCTTGCCACGGCCGGACAATTGAGTACTCCCCAAATTTGCCTCAGGCATCAATACTTCTGTCTGGATCGAAACATCCATCCCTCTTGCCCTGGAGTGTCACTCGTTTTGGGAATGTCACTGAGGCTCTCTGACTTTCAGCTGCAATGATCCCAGAGTCTCAGGTTTGGCTGGGTTTTGACGCCTTATTCTCTTTATTCCTTTACAGATTGTTAGTTTTGTATTTTTATATATAAATGATAATGGTTGCTATTGCAATGCATGGCGCCCCCTTGTATTTCTAGTCCTGTTTACTTTCCTAGGAGTTGAGGAGATGGAAGCGCCATGATTTCCTGTCGTAGTCAACTGTGAATCGCACATATGGTATTCCTGTGCCTGTGCAGGCCAGCTTCAGAACCTTCTAGAATCTAAAGAAACATTAGGGAAGGTAGGGTTTTGGGCCCGTTGAAGACTCCCCCAACTCCATTCTTACGTGTATCCCCTTTAGGGATTGTACCCAAAAAGGCTGAGGGGGAATATCGCCTCATTCACCACCTGTCCTATCCCAAGGGCAGGTCGGTGAACAACGCAATTCCTGGCGAGTTCAATACACATCGTTTGATTCAGCAGTGCAGCTTGTTCTCTGATTTGGGTTAGGATCTGAACTAGCAAAATGCGACATCAAGTCGGCATTTCGATTGCTGCCTGTCCACCCATTAGACTTTGAGCTTCTGGGTTTCCAATTTCAGGGTTTGTTTTATATGGACAGGGCCCTTCCCATGGGCTGCTCTATTTCCTGCGCAGCCTTTGAAAAATTTAGTACCTTTCTAGAGTGGGCAATTAAGACCAAATCGGGTATGTCAGGGGTCGCACATTACTTAGATGATTTCTTATCCGTGGGAAAAGCAGGGTCAGGACAATGTGGGGCATTACTAAGGTCCTTCCAACAGCTTGCTCACCAATTAGGAGTACCCTTAGCTGAAGAAAAAATGGAAGGCCCATCTCCTGTGGGGTTACGATGCCCCATCACCATATCAGGGTAACACGATCTATTAAGTCCGATCTAGCAATCTGGCTCGATTTCTTAGGTGACTTTAATGGAATGTCTTTTTGGAGACAAGAATTACTGCTGAAAAATGCCCTCAAGGTGGCCTCGGATGCCTCTGGGTCAGTGGACTTCGGTGTATATTTCCAAGGTCACTGGTGCACAGAAGTCTGGCTACAAATTTGGTATATACAGAGAATTACTGCAGATTTGACATTTTTGGAATTTTTCCCCATACTAGTAGCTGTTACATTATGGGTTAAGTCTTTTGCTAATTCAACGGTGCAACAGTGCAGGTTATCAATACCCTAACATCTAAGTCAGTTAGAGTTATGGGTGTGCTGAGACTCTTCACTCTACATTGTCTGAAATTTAATATCATGTTTTGGGCCTTTCACATCGCAGGTCTTGACAATTCACTTGCCGACGCTCTATCTCGCATGCAGATGGAGCGCTTCAGGCAACTCGCACCCAACACGGACGTCCACCCACAATGCATGCCAGACTATCTTTGGCAGGTTGGAGGAACAAAGCTTTAATGGGTGCAGTGCCTAAAGACCTTGGCCTGTACTTAAACACAATCGGCACTGACAAAATTACCATCTGCCAGCTGCAGAAGGCCACCTTACTGGGATCTGCACGCATTATTCGCCGATACATCTCACAGTCCTAGACACTTGGGAAGTGTCCAATGTGGGATCCAATCAGTTGAGGAGATGGAAATGCCATGGTTTAATTCTGCAGAAGATAATTAATTATTATTATTATGATTAATAATAATAATTCCTAGATACTTGGGAAGTGTCTGACGCGTGATCCAATACAACAGCCAGCAGAGTGTCTGCTTTGGACTGAACTTGTTGTGTTTCAAATTATTATTATTATTATTATTATTATTATTATTATTACTATTATTATTATTATTTATACCCCTCTACCATCTTCCCGAAGGGGACTCGGGGCAGCTAACATTTATTTTTTATTTATTTACAGTATTTATATATCACCTTTCTCACTTTTGAAGGGACTCAAAGCGGTTTTTGTCAAGCTAAGGTGCAACTTGACAGAAGCAAAATGCTAGATCTACCAGACACAGCTTTGAAATCAAGGACACTGGAGACTTTGGTTACAAAAGAAAATTCAGTTTACTAAGCACAGAAAAAACACATCCATCTACAGCGAGTGACACACAGGAAGAGACAGGAAAACCGAAAGTCAAAACAGAACTTTGCAGCTGTTAATCTTTCTTGCTCCAAGCGGCAACTCCCTAGAAGTTCTCAGCAGAAGAGAGCATATCTTAAGGTCACTCAATCACAGCCTCAACATAAACATTTCAGTACAGCATTTTCACTCCAGTGGCATCCATATTTGCTACACAAGAATTACATTTAAAACTCATACACATAATACATATAATAACTCAATAAATCCTGACAGTTTTCACATAAATAATGGCAAGATTCAATGCCTTACACTGGGCACCGATACGATGCCAATACAAACAATTACAATAGTAAAACCACAATTAAACATAATTCACAATTTATTTATTTATTTATTTATTTATTTATATTTGTCGTGTCAGGACAACCGGTCATATTATATTACATTTCTAACAGAACAAAGCAAACAAACAGACAGAATACACAATTTGTGAGTTTGGTAGTTGATTAAATGTCCTTTGACCAGTATCTGGCCACTTGGAGTGCCTCTGGTGTTGCTGCAAGAAGGTCCTCCATTGTGCATGTGGCAGGGCTCAGGTTGCATTGCAGCAGGTGGTCAGTGGTTTGCTCCTCTCCACACTCGCATGTCGAGGATTCCACTTTGTAGCCCCATTTCTGAAGGTTGGCTCAGCATCTCGTGGTGCCAGAGCGCAGTCTGTTCAGCGCCTTCCAAGTCACCCAGTCCTCTGTGTGCCCAGGGGGGAGTCTCTCATCTGGTATCAGCCATTGATTGAGGTTCTGGGTTTGAGCCTGCCACTTTTGGACTCTCGCTTGCTGAGGTGTTCCAGCGAGTGTCTCTGTAGATCTTAGAAAACTACTTCTAGATTTAAGTCATTGACGTGCTGGTTGATACCCAAACAGGGGATGAGCTGGAGATGTCTCTGCCTTGGTCCTTTCACTATTGGCTGCTACTTCCCGGCTGATGTCAGGTGGTGCAATACCGGCTAAGCAGTGTAATTTCTCCAGTGGTGTAGGGCGCAGACACCCCGTGATAATGCGGCATGTCTCATTAAGAGCCACATACACTGTTTTAGTGTGGTGAGATGTGTTCCACACTGGGCATGCATACTCAGCAGCAGAGTAGCATAGCGCAAGGGCAGATGTCTTCACTGTGTCTGGTTGTGATCCCCAGGTTGTGCCAGTCAGCTTTCGTATGATGTTGTTTCTAGCGCCCACTTTTTGCTTGATGTTCAGGCAGTGCTTCTTGTAGGTCAGAGCACGGTCCAGAGTGACTCCCAGGTATTTGGGTGCGCTGCAATGCTCCAGTGGGATTCCTTCCCAGGTCATCCTCAGAGCTCGGGATGCTTCTCTGTTCTTGAGATGAAAAGCACATGTCTGTGTTTTAGATGGATTAGGGATCAGCTGGTTTTCCCTGTAATAGGCAGTAAGAGCACCTAGAGCTTCGGAGAGCTTCTGTTCAACCATCTCAAAGCTACCTGCTTGAGCGGTGATGGCACGATCATCAGCATAGATGAAACTCTCTGTCCCTTCTGACAGTGGCTGGTCATTTGTGTAGATGTTGAACATGGATGGAGCAAGCACGCTCCCCTGAGGCAGGCCATTCTTCTGTTTCCGTCATCTGCTTCTCTGGCCCTGGAACTCAACAAAAAAAGCTCCTGTTTTGTAGCAGGTTTCCTATGAGGCGGGTGAGGTGGTCGTCCTTTGTGATATACATTTTTCTCAGGAGGATAAATCACAATTAAAACAATACATCAACGTGCATTAAAACAATAAAACAGTCTTGTCAGTCAAATCGCCGTTCCAGTCAGTGTCCCTCTAAAATGCTACATACATCTACTGTCCGAAGGCCTGGTCCCAGAACCATGATTTTAATTTTTTTTCCTAAAAGCCAGGAGCAAGCGAGCAGATTTTACCTAATTTGGGAGTGTGTTCCATAGGCGGGGAGCCACAGCTGGGAAGACCCTGTCTTTTTTCCCCGCCCAGGGGCGGCTCAACCCATTACGCGAAGTAAGCCTTTGCAGTAGAGTTGATTTTACCCAGGGGCACTCTTGAGGCACTCTTGGAGGAAAATAGACCTTGACATGTGCGAGTTGTCGTTACTGGGATGTATAGTTCACCTACAATTAAAGAGCATTCTGAACTCCACCAATGATGGAATTGAACCAAATATGGTACACAGAACTCCCACGACGAACAGAAAATATATATCAGTGATTTGGGGGGGAGGGGCAAAATGCTGTTTGCTTACCGTTGAAAATTACCTAGGGCCGCCTCTGTCCCGGCCAGTTGCATTTGTGCTGTTGTCAGGAGCGAGAGCAGGGCCTCCCCGGATGATCTTAGATTACGAGGTGGGACGTAGGGGCGGATGCGTTCGGACAAGTAACATGAGGCCAAGCCCAGAATTACAGTACAACAAAACAGAACAAAATACAACAGCAAATAATAACATCTAAATAAGATACATAAAATAACAGAAAATGAAATGAACGGATGCAAAAATAACGTGATGAAGACCCTAAAATAAAAGCACGGTGGGTAGGCCAAATGGACAGACTAAGATTGATAAAACCCTGAGTGAGATAAGCAAATGGAGAAGTATGTGTTTGTGGGGCGAACAATGGGAACGAGCCTTTATTAAAGACAAAAGTGCGTCATGGGGACAGAACTATAGTTGGGTCGGACATATGTGTTCACTCGTCAAAAGCACACCAGAAGAGCCAGGTTTTTAGGTCTTCCTTAAAGGCTGCCAGGATGAGGGCTTGCCTAATCTCACTCGGTAGCGAGTTCCAAAGCTGAGGGGACACAACGGAGAAGGCCCTCTCCCTTGTCATGGAATCATAGAATTCAAAGAGTTGGAAGAGACCTCATGGGCCATCCAGTCCAACCCCATTCTGCCAAGAAGCAGGAATATTGCATTCAAATCACCCCTGACAGATGGCCATCCAGCCTCTGTTTAAAAGCTTACAAAGAAGGAGCCTCCACCACACTCCGGGACAAAGAGTTCCACTGCTGAACGGCTCTCACAGTCAGGAAGTTCTTCCTCATGTTCA